GAGAGAGAGAGAGAGAGAGAGAGAGAGAGAGAAGGGGACTCTCGTGGCCTATAGGTTAAGGTGTTCGCCTCTCATTCAAAGTTACAAAAGTCCCGCGTTCGAATCCGGGTAGTGACTGAAAACTTTTCTTCTCTAAAAATTGTCCGCAGGGCTTCCAGTCTTCCGCAATTTTGCGGATTTCCGCAAATTAGTAGATTTCCGCAAATGGAAACATTTCCGTGAAAATTCGTGCCCCAAAAAAAAATAATTTTTTTTTCAAAAATGCGAAATAAAAATTTTCCGTTATTACCAGTAGTCAACAATAGCCAACCCATACCGGAAGTGCTCTTTTATTTGAAAGTGTAGACAGTGTCTTCTACTTTCACTTTCTAAAGCACAAGAAAGAAGCACAACACCAGCTCTGTAAACAAGAGGAAGAAATGACGATTGTGGTTCAATAGATCTTGGGCTTGCCAAGAAAAGAAAACTGTAAAGAGAGCTTGATTTTTTTTACCAGACTTGTTTATTTGTAAGTATTGTTGTGGATTTAAGTTGAATATAAGCTGTCAAGTTATTTAGATCTAGAATTTAGACTAGAATCTAGATCTAGAATGATATCTAGATTCTAGAGATCAAGTCAAGCCCAAGCTGAAAACGCTATTAATATTATTTTAAGAATTCTACACCTTATGCTGATTATGGTGCAAACCAACACAAGCAGAAAAAGGTTAAACATTAACTGTCAAGTTTTATAGATCTATATCTAGTTGTGGATGTACAGTATCTGTACAAGGGAGAAAGCATGTTTGGATTTGGAAATATATGGATTTTTTAACACAAGCAGAAAATTATGTAGGCCTATCCAAGTAATTACAAGGTGTATGATTTTTTTCTCAATTATTTTCTAGTTAAATTTAGGCCTGAATAGCCAGAAATGGCATACTTAGGATGCTCTGAAACCAAAAATTCTCAAACAGAAAGGGGATGCTGTTCCCCTTCAACCCCCTGCCGGGGCTCTGCCCTGGACCCGAAAATCCTTGAAAAATGACATCAGCCGCTGGAAGCTCTTTCACCTCATTTCCTGCTCTCTATCAATGTTCTTTCGTCTGCTTTCGACTCCATTTTCCGCACCCACCCCCTATCCCCCTTTGCCCTCTCCTCTGCTGGACTCCTGACTCTTTCTGCAGCCTTTCTACTGATACTCATTGGCTCCTTCTTACTAATCTTACTGCTGTCTTTAAACCACTCCTCTGATTTTCTGGTAGGAAAGATCTACACCTAGCCTTCTCGGACAAGGATGAAAAATCTCGGAGGTCCCATATGCAAGTTGCGCACGTTAAAGATCCCTTGGTACATGTAGTCTAAAATCAATAAAAATATGCTTCGGCTGCCATCCGGGAAAAATTCAAAATTTCCTACCTACTGAAAATTATTAAAGTGTCCCGCATGTTCATAATATGACCTTATGCAGCTGCGAGCGCCGTAAAACACTTACCAAAACAAAAGAATTACATGTACATTATATTT